ACTTAATTCAAAGGGAAAACAAGTTTTCATTCCCCACTGACAGATATTTGTTCTTGTTTTAAGCATAAATTAACTTGGATTTGTTCAGTTTCTCAGAAACAAGGCTTTATTTGTTCAGTTTGCATCTCAAGTAAATGTATGTTGATTTAAAGATGTTTAGATATTTGCGTCGGAACACAAAACCAAAACCCTTAGGGGGGAGATATTCCTATTTTTGCAGTGCATGCACCATCTAATGCCATGACTGTATGAATGTTAAGACTTTCTGCTCTGTTTTAAGAACTTTATAAGGCCTTAATTTGTGGACGGGTGAATTAAGACCTTTTAAGACCTGCAGAAACAAAGTGACAACCTCACACCAGAGTCTGGTTTACTGTTTTCTCCGAGCAGGTGAGAAGCCGTTCAGATGCTGTTGGGACGGCTGCTTACGGCGGTTTGCCAGGTCTGATGAACTGTCTCGTCATCGCCGCACGCACACAGGAGAGAAGCGTTTCTCCTGCCCTGTTTGCCACAGCCGCTTTGTGCGCAGCGACCACCTGGCAAAACACGCACGCCGCCATGTAACAGCCAGGAGAACGGCAGTGTGGCAGAAGGAGGTTTACCGTCTTCACAACATCAGTGCGGTCTGTCACAGCCTGCAGCCTCTGGCACCCAAAACTGAGAGCTGACAGAGTCCTTCACATCTCTACTGGTTTAATTGTTTATATACTGTATATACACTACTGTTCCAAAGTTTGGAATCATTAGGACTTTTTAATGGTTTTGAAATTAGTCTCTTCTGCTCATCAAAGCTGCATTTGTTTAATCAAAAATACAGTAAAATCAGCAATATTGTGAAATATTATTACAATTTAAAATACCATTTTCTATGCGAAGATCTGTTAAAATATAATTTATTTCTGTGATCGAAGCTGAATTTTCAGCATCATTACTCCAGTCTTCAGTGTCACATGATCTTCAGAAATTATTATAATATGCTGATTTGCTGCTCAAGAAACATTTCTGATTATTATCAATGTTGAAAACATTTGTGCTTCATATTTTTGTGGAAACTTTAGATTCTTTGAAAAACAGCATTTATTTGAAACGGAAATATTTTGGATTTTCAGGATCATGTGACACTGAAGACTGGAGTAATGATGCTGAAAATTCTGATTTGATCACAGAAATAAATTACAGTTTAACAGATATTCACATAGGAAACAGTTATTTGAAATTGTAATAATATTTCACAATAGTACTTCAGAAATAATTCTAATATGCTGATTTGCTGTTCAAGAAACATATCTGATTATCGGTGTTATCTTATTAAATGTTGATATTAACATTAATACATTAAAAAAATCAAAAGCTGTTTCAGGTTTGGACTTGCGCTAACATGAACAAACAATGAACATTTTATTAACTGTTATGTGTAACCTATTAACACTACCTAATAGGCCATTGTTATAAAGTATATTTTTTGTTAGTATCTAAATGGGATGCCATCAGATTGAACTTTTTTTTGTTGCATATATAAATAAATAAGAGGCTTTTTTTTTAATGAATTAGTTTACCAACTGGATTTTTGATTATGGGAAGGCTACAAGGCATATTAATCTATAATCAAGAAATTTGTTCCTAGCTATTTGTTCACTCATGTTTAATAGTGAAGAGTAAATGCAACGTTGTACCAGACATTAAAAGGCAAAGTGAATCCACAAGGCCATTAATACCATTTTATTGACAGAAAAACTTTGTCAAGAAAAGGTAAATGCTGTAAACAGCAAACAGTCTATGGTTTATTCTCGGACACTGAACAAACATTTCATTCGTCCAATTCCTGTTCTATGTTGCACAGTTTATTGCTTTCACTTGCCTGGATCTTGCAGGTAAAGAGCAACATAAGAGCTTCCGCTCACTTTAACCAGCAGCACTTGCTCCAACCGTCTTCAACACATTCTCAGACATACTTGCACAACACCAGAGACGTCCTGGACAGAACACGTGTGCAACGCTGAGATAATGCGCAGCATGACATTTGTTGACTACTGCTTACTCAAGTATGTGAAAGCAGACACTTCCCATTTTTGTGCAATACTGCATTACGAAATGCAACCGCAACACGTCAGCTTTCATTTAAATGCAAAAACTTGCTGGTCAATGCAATGCAAGCAACTGGACCAGATGTTTGCACTTGGTGTCTGCATTAGCATACTTGTGTTAAAGGTGACATATCATGAAAATCTCACTTTTCCAGGTTTTAAGTGCTATAATCAGGTCCCCGGTGCATCTACCAACCAAGGAAACGTGAAGATTAGTTCGAAAGCTTTTCATCATTTGCTCAGCAATGGATGCTCTGCAGTGAATGGGTGCCGTCAGAATGAGAGACCAAACAGCTGATAAAAACAGCACAATAATCCACAAGTAATCCACAAAATCCAAAAGACATTTTTAACTTCAAACCTTTACTTGTGGCCATAATAAGAGTCCTCTATCCTTAATAACGCTTCCTCCAGTGAAAAGTTGTCTCGTCTGAATCAGGAGAGAAATATGTACAGATTAAATCGTTTTAATGATGGATTTGTTTCTTACAAACACGCAGATTTTGGCTTCACAAGTTGTTAACTGATGGACTGGAGTGGTGTGGATTACTTGTGGATTATTGTGATGTTTTTATCAGCTGTCTGGACTCTCATTCTGACAGCACCCATTCACTGCAGAGGATCCATTGCTGAGACAGTGATGAAATGCTACATTTCTCCAAATCTGATGAAGAAACAAACTCATTTATAGCTTGGATGGCCTGAGGTTGATTACATTTGCAGCAGATTTTGCATTTCTGGATGAACAACCCTTTAACGTGTGTTTTGGGCATAAGATTTCAACAGTTTACAAAGTTTCCATTGTATTTAGTCAACAAAAACATACCACAGTGCTCTGCTGAACTATTCCTGTAACAGTTCAAATAGGACGAAGATCACAATTTTCCAGTTTAAACATCATATTCGTAATACGAATAACAAAAAAACAAGTGCATGTTTCTTTAAAAGCATCTGATGATGTCATGAAACTAGACTCGAGGTTTAATAAATAACTTAGTACATGACTGATTCCATTAGTAAGTGGAAATATTATGTGTGTATACATTTATAAAACGGACTTAAATATAATTAAATGTATCTGTAAAGGCCAACTGGCTCATTTGTTAAAGCTAATCGCACCTATTTGCTGTTTATCCATCAGTTGTGATGGCTATGAAGTTGTTCTGGTCAACAACACTTCTTCAGCTCTGGTCCCAGCCAAACTTCTTCAAAGCAACTGAAGCTTCTTAGAAGATTCTAGGTTCTTAAGTGCTTAAAGTCAGTCGAGATAATGACATTAATAAGTGGCTTTATGTTACGCCGGGGTGGAAACGGATGCCTCGGATATGTTTGGTTGCAAGCCGCATGGTACCACAGAGTGGTTCTTCATCCTCGCATCCAAAGTGACGCCACAGTTATGAACCTGTTGCCTGCAGCAGGAAAAACAACTTGATTAAAAACCAAAACAAAAGCACCGGGTTTAAAATTCCAGATAAAGTGACATTGTACCAGTCGCATTCAGTGATGCTGTAGAAGACGGGCGGTTTGTGTTCCTCTCCGTTAGTGAATGTGGCCCCCAGACCGTTGGCCCCTGCGTTGCTGAAAAGCAGCCAGTCTCCAACACTGAGCTCCGGCAGCAGACATCGCTCCACCACCTGATCCAGATCATCAGCAGATGGACCCCACAGACTGCTGTAGAACAGCGGCTCTTCTGCGCTCACCTCCTGACAAAACACCACATTGCACATGATCAGCTTTAACAATCTACTGACTAAAGCACTGGCCTGTGATGGTTTTAATGACAGAAGATGATGCTCAAATCTTTTAAAATCTTTCTTGGTCCAACAAAATTAGGGCTGTCAAAATGACTGAAAAAGTAAATTCGAATTTTCTACTTAAATATTATCAAAATTCGAATTCTATACGAATTTAAAAGGCATAATTTCAGTTAGGGGGAAAAAAAGCTTTTGGCTTCTCTCCTGAGGCCACAAGAGAGCGCATCGAGCAAAATATTATGCACGTTTAATGAATTAATATATATAATACTTTACCAACATGTACTTACAATAGGGTTAGTTTAGTTTAGGGTTAGTTGGTTGTAATTATGCATCATTTACTGTTATCACTATAGCGTACACGTAACGTAAAACGCAAAAAAACAAAAAAGTGTCACCATACATTTATTTACCCTTTTGATGATTCAATATTTATCCAAATGTATCTCCAGCAAAATAAAACCCACGGTATATCATAAATATCTGATATAAATATTGACTAGTACTCACTGTGTGGTTGACCACTGAAATCACGAGCCACGGTTTTCTTAGCGATTATATTCATGGCCAGCGTGAAGGCAGATGACACAAAATAAACTCCAGGTTCAGCGATGAGCGACAAGCCGGTCGAGAGAGGAAAATACATGTCCAGCATGGGTTTCAGCATCTGGTTAACCTGCATACAAAAACAACACTAGAAGCTCAGCGGGGAAAAAAACACATAAATACAAGAAATAGCTTACAAAAGCACAGCAGAATACAGTACCTTGTCTAACTGCGCCTCACTTCCATCAAAGCCGCCTCCGACGTCCAGAATATTCATCTCAAAGCCAAGCTCCTCCTAAGATCAGATTCATTTAGAACACGTTTCCGAGGGGGAAATAAATACTGAAAGTGACATTTAGATAAATAAAGATCATTCCCTCTGGGTTCAGTAGGGAAGCTCATGGCACAATCAGATCAGAATTCGATCCAAGACTGCATGAGCGATGACTCACCCCCATATCAAAGACACAGCGGGCGTCAGAAACAGCACGAGAGAATGCTTGTGCATCCTGACAACAACTGGGAATGTTGAATCTGTGAGCAAAGCATTAAATCAAAACATACCATTTACTTCCTTTATAAATGTCCTTGGCGTAACTGAGCATGACTCATTAGAGAAAAATAAAGTTCATTCTGAGAAAAGGTCCATCATCATTTGTTTACACACTAGCTTTAATGTCTAATGCAATGACATAGGAAATTATATATATACAGTGGGTACGGAAAGTATTCAGACCCCCTTCAATTTTTCACTCTTTGTTATATTGCAGCCATTTGTAACATGCGGCTCTCTTGTACGAGACGTACAATATGCGTTCTGTGTGAACGGCTTGGTTTCAGTTTTGACGTAAACAACATCTTCTCCACACTGATGCTCTCGTTTTCCGCAATATCTGAATGAACAACGTAGCAGCGCCGCTTCTAGTGGGTTCAAGTGGATAGGCTAACAAAAGCATTCAAATGCAATGACACTTACATCATCGTCGCATTTTGTGCGCCACTGATATGGCTGCCTGACAGCTGACGCAGACCTAAAATTTGAATGCAACGTTTTTGCATTCGAATGTGGATTTTTTTTTTATTCGACGAATATTCGAAATTCGAAAAAAAACAATTTGACAGCCCTACACATAATCGTAGAAACATGTCTTACAGAGTGCTTTTATTCAGAAGCCCAAAAAAATGCTCAGATGTATGTTGTATTTAAAGCCATTGCATGTATGAAATGTTTTTTAAAATGTCTTTTCATGCAGGTGCAGACACAAAAAATTATCTTTAAATGTTTGCTGATGTTTATGCATTGGATCAATGTCACATTAAATTTAAGAGAAAGAGAAATATTTACCTTGTGTGCCGAAGGCATTGAGATTGAATCCTCACACAGCAGCTTATTGGCAAAAGTCCCATAAACCCCATCGTTCATGTAGTAGAGAAACTCAGGCTCGTCATTTGCAGACAGTGCATCTGAAAAACAAAAACATGAGTTTAATAAACACATTATGATCAGTGTATCACCTATGAGACATGCAGTGGGATTTTATTTAATATTTACATTAAGGTTGGGCGATACTGCAAAATAAAATTGTAATATAATGTTACCAGTATTTTTAAATATAAATGAAAATATATATAAAAAATATAAAAATTTTAATAATTATAGATGGCACGGCATTATGATTTTGGCTTTGCTGTTTATTATTGTTTGTAATTTGTGTCCATCAAGCGAAGCCTTTTCTGATAATAAGCAGTGTTTGAATGTTTTATCTGAAGAACAATGCGACGTGATGTCATATAGTTACGGGCGGAGTATTATTTATCTGCACTCGTCCAGGCCCTCCATCTCAAAACACCACTCCAGCGCCGGAAAATTCATTATCATCCTACGCCTGTTATTGTCAGGAGACATTCACCCATGTTCAGGTCCTAATGGGGAAGTTTGTCCTGGTTTTAACAAAGGTCGAGTTTTGGATTCCGGATCGTACTTGGCTGAACGTAACTCAGGTACAAGCGTCATGTAGTGATATGGATCCAAATATTAACAGCATGGCTAATAACATATCCTACCTTTGTAGGATATGTAACACGCAGCTTATGAGTTTTCTCATTAGCTGCGTGTTCGTGTCTTTTTGTTCAAGCACATTGCCAGCCAAACAAATCACAAGCCATGTGCTTGAACAAAAAGACATAAGCCGCGTGTTCACACAAGACAACAAGAAAAGCACGCGGCTGAACACAAACCGCGTGCTACACAAAACACGTGGACAGAAGAGCGCACGGCCGAGCGAACTCGAGACCGCACGCTCCCACAACAGACAGAACATGGAGCGCGAGTGTCCGGACCCCGAAAACGAAACCGAAACTCAAGACCTGAGTGCCGGGATCCGAACACCACGCTCCAACATGAAACCGTACACGCAGACGAGAGCGCACGGCTCGAGCACTCTCGAAGCCGCACGCTCACATGAAAACAATGACATGACGGGAGTGTCAGGGCTCTGTCACAAAACCATGAATTACACTAGACCAAAGTGACAGAACCCTGACAGATTCGTCAGGAACTAATAATGAAATTAGAACAGACAATTATAATGTTATTAGGATGGATTGTAAAAGACAATGAGGTGTTTGTATTTTTATTAGATCGGATATTCATTTTAATGTGTTAGATATTAATGTTGAGCAAGAGTTATTGTTTATGGATTTATTGTTGCCTGCGACTAAACCAATGCTGTTTGGAGTATGTTATCCTCCACCCAGTCAAAACTATTTTTATGAGGGACTTGAGTATGTTTTAAAAAATTATAATGACGATCTGACAAAAGAATGTATTATTATGGGGGATTTTAACACAAATATATCTAAAAGAATAGGGGACAATTTCAACGCTCTGCAGTCATTATGTAAATTATTCCATTTAACCCAAATTATAAAGAAATCTACCAGAGTTTGGGAAGGTTGGGAAAGTACCATTGATCTTATTTTGGTATCGGATGTAAAGTATATTTCCCAGAAAGGAGTAATTGAATATGGTATTAGTGATCATAATATTATCTTTTGTACTAGAAAACGCAGTAAATTAAAATTTTGTAATCATAAAACAGTACAAATTAGATTGTTAAAAAATGTAATACTGAAGATATAATATTGAATCAGCAGATCCGTGTATGAGCAGATATATTAAGGATCTGCTGACAGACGCAGCTTTCAAACGCTGTGTGTATCTGTGTAAGTGCTCGCTGAAGAGCGAGAAGCGATAAACATTGTAGCCAATCACAGACGTATCGGTTGAGCGCGTGAACATAATGGCCAATCAGAGCTGTTTAAGAATACGCTCAACAGCGCTTCAATGCTAGCGGGAAATGCTGGTATCGTCATATTTTTACAATTTCAGTACCGACATTGGTATTTTCGACAACACTCATTTCCAGGGGCATTTTCACCTTTATAAGGGCCTTTTCTATCCTTATTAGATCTATGGATCATCTTTTGTGTCAAATTTTTACATTTAATCAAATTCAATTAGAATAATAAGACACTATAGACTGTTACCAATCAAATGAATCAGTATCAACAAAATCCATTTTTCCATTGCAGAAGTGGCACAGAATCAGCATTAAGTAGTATATACACTGCAATTACAGTTGCATAAATATTACTATGAGATCAATGTTTTTAGAATAATATTTTGAATATTAAACTTTTTTTTTTTTTTTTTTAACGAAATGATACTTTAAATATTTTAACCTAAAACTGCCAGTAAGTGGCGGCAAGTCTTAAGTCGTTGAGTCATTTACTAAACCAATTTGATCTTAACGAATGAATCACTGATTCATTGCTGCTTTGTTTGGGACTATTTTCGTTGGAAAAACAGAGTAAAAACAATATTATCTTCTTGTTTACTGAACGGCTGTACTCTCAAGGCCTGTTTTTTTTTTTGCAAAATCAGAGACATACTCTATAATGTCAGCCTCCACATTGTTAAAACAATACATATCACACAACCCTACAAACACATTAGAAATGGTGACATGTCCAAACACTTTTTGAGGCTAATGTAATTCATAAATGACTCTCTCAAAAAGAATTCTCTCAAAACTCAAGCGAGACTCACTTGACTCCTGTAATGTGCAGGCTGAGCTCTCTGGCACTCTCCAGCAGATGTCTGCAGTCCTTCAGCGTGGAGCCGAACGGTATGGCTTTCTCCTCACGCTCGCAACAGCTCTCCGATGTCAACAGCAGCAACACCCTATTACAGAAAACCAGTTAAAAAAGATGAGGGTTAGTATTAAAAAAATCCAATGCATTAGTGCGAATGCAGCCTATCAGAGCTGCCGCTGTCGATTACATCATCAGTAATAATCAAACAGCAATAACACAGAAAAAAACCCTCACTAACTGCCCTTGTCTGGAAAACTTTTAGATAGTATAATGTGTTTCTTTATTGCTTTATATTTGCTTGTATGTTTTGAAGCTGTATTTAGTTTGTTTGTATTTAATGCTTAACATACAATTATTGAAGCTTATTTCCACCAAAGAATAAAATAAAGGCAATTGAGACTTTTTAATCTGACAATTCTGACTTTTTTCCTTGCAATTCTACACATACCAGATATAATTCTAGACAAACCGCAATTCTGAGCAAAAATAAAAAAAAAGAGCGAGAGAGAGAGAGAGAGAGAGAGAGAGAGAGAGAGAATTGTGAGACACTCGCAACTGTAAGAAAAGGAGTCAGAATTGGGAGAACAGTGGCAAGCTTTTTTATTTTTAAGTAATAAAAAAAAATTTAATTGCAACTTTTTCTCTCACAATTCAAGACTTTTTTTTTTTCAGAATGGCAAAAAAAAAAGACAATTGTTTTTTTGTTTTTTTTCAATATTTGAATAATTTGCATGTTTACGGTTCTTTGTTGTTGACTTTTTCTCACAATTCTGCAGAGTTCCCACTCATTTTCAGTGATCATTTTCCAGGACTTCGAGGACTTTTCCAGGACATTTTCTAGGACATTTTCTATTTATTTACAGCGGGAATAAAAGACAACGATCACGCCATAAAGTAATATATAATATATATAAAGTAGGACGCGTGGGAACCCTGTTCTGACTTTTTTTCTTGCAATTCTAAGAAAAAAAAGTCAGAATGGCAAGATATAAACAAAAAAATAAAAAAGGTAATTGCAACTTTTTATTCGTTTAGTCGTTTTGTGAGATTAAAACTAAGAATTTTGAGAAAAAATGTCAGAAGTCGAAAATACCTTTTTTTTTTTTTTTTTTCATGGCGGAACTAAGCTTTGTGTACAATTGGTTTGATTTATCATTAATTTATAATTTCTTTAAAAGTACTTTAGAACTTATATAAGTAAATTAACAAATTTGAACACACAAAATTAATATTCGATGTTAGTACACCTATTATAAAACAAACAAACCAACAAACATGTAAATCAAGGAACGTTTTAGAATCGGATTGTGAGGTTTCTAAATATTCCCACCCCTACTAAACAGATATCGTCTGAGAACTGTGACGTTTCACTGCAGATGTTTGTATTGTGATTGTGACTCGTAAGTGCAGTGTGACCACATCACTCACTTTGTTTTGGGATGACATCGTGCAATCTTCCGCAGCTCTGCCTCATTATCACAAACCAGGAGGGAGATGTTGTGTTTGGCTGCGTATTTGATATGAGACAGCTGTTTACACGTGCCGCCGAGAATGATGTCCTGAGACGGGACGCCAAAGCCCTTCACTAAGTCCAGCTCATGCTGAAAGACAAGCACAGGAGCCAAAACAGATGACACACACAGAAAGCAACTAATAAAAGTAATAATATATTTTTAAAATAGCTTTAAGACAGAACCGGAATGCTATTTTAGGACACCGAGTAATCTAGTTTCAGTGAGAGGAGATGAGACATATTTTATACTTTATATTCACCTTGTTTGAACAAACAAAGCCAGTTCCAAGAGCAGCCAGGATTTCAACAACCACGGGGCTGCTGTTGCTCTTGACCGTGTAAAAAGGCCGAATCTGGTCCATTTTAGTTCTCCAGCGAACTTGCTGCCACACAATCACCCCCAGGTCAGCCACAAAAAATGCACTCTTCAGTGCCTAAAGAAAAAACAACATACAACATTCTTTGGTATAAACAGAAAAGGCACAATAAGCGAAACAAAGCAGAATTCCCTTTTATACTTACAAGAGTTTGATCATGGATGTGTTTATCGATCAAACCTCGGAGAGCTGCGCTTCCTTCCAGCAGCTCAACAGAAAAGCGTGGTTCATCCAGAGTTCCCTTCATTCTCATCCGTAATCTGATGTTCTGACTGGCATAAAGCAGGTCACCTATTTATGAGAAGCCTCAGAGCTCTTGGGTCCTAGTGATATCCACTGCAAACACAAGACAGACCAAAAAAAAAAATCAATAAATGCAAGCCTATGTGAATGATAGGGCATAAGCAATTATTACACACAAGCTTGTCAGTCAATTATTTAAATATATAGAGAAGTTTTATTTACATATACACACTAATAACATTATGATAGCATCCTCTCCACACATTATATATATATATATATATAGGTTGAAAAAAAAAACTATCTATATGAAACATTTATTTAAATATAAGCATATACATTTAGATATTAATGCATTTGCTTTGAAAGTGTGATTTTGAAAGGAATCGTTTTAAGCAAACATTCATTGTAGCCAAGAAGAAAACTTAAATATCATTACAATAATATAAAAGCTTGCATTTTTACATCGTCCACAAACAAACAAATTTCTTCAAAAATCATCCAGCCTTTTGACATTTACAGGGATCAATGTGTTGGACCCCAACTGTGAATTGCAGCTTTATTTAATGCTCTTTTTATTCTGTGTTATTTAAACTGTACAAATAGGTATGACACATTCAATGTCATGTTTGACGTCACAGCAGAGTCGCCAACTTCCACTGACCTTGGCAATCCATTCTCAAAGCAGGTTTAAAAACAGCTACAGACTGAAACTGCTTAGTCAGGGTGGGCAGTATGACTAAAATGAGGACTTCCTGTCGCACTTGAAGCTTCATGTAAGTCAACCCTCTACATTGCGAGTAAATCACTCGCATATGCGACTAAATCTTCACTCTGGGCGACTAAATGATGTCTAATATTAGCCAACGGCTAATAAATTCTCAGATTTTACTCGTCAGTGTGTGAGTTGGAGGCTATGATTTGCACAGATATATTTTCACTCAGAGAACACTCTGACTGAGCTCTTCAGAGTTTCTCTCTCCGTCAAGCGATCTGTGATATTTTTCAGCTCATTTGAATGGATGCGCAGCGCACCTGTGTTTGTGTATTTGGTGTAACATAAACTCTAGTGTGAAGCGCACGACTCGCCGTCGCTTACTCTCACACGCGCAAAGAGCGAGAGCGAGCGAGAGTCTTACATAACATGCAGAATTGATTGCCAAGGTGTCCGTAGAGGGTTGTAAGTATACAGTAGCACACCGGAAGTGAGGTTACAGCTATGTGAACCTACAGGAACAGGTCAGAGGTCGACCTCTCCAGCTATCAGCTAGGATCCCAAGGGGGCTCCGCGTTGAAATTGAACTGCTCACGGTAGACGGAAGCCCCTAAGCTGTTCTCGTAGTTCACATACACCTGCAAAATAAAATATATATCATAAATGAGGCGTGTCAAAGTATATATATCTGGAGCAGAACAATCAGCGTCACTGTTAAAGTATATAAAAGTAGAAATAAAAAAAATACTATATACATAAAATTAGGGCTGTGCAACTGATTGTCGCATTCGATTATGAACGCGATATCGCCTAGCTTGTCAGTGAACTACGGCTCTGTGTATTAAATGCTGCTCCATCTGATACGATATACTTTGTTGTATTTCTCTGTAAAAATAACGGAGTTTCTTTGGAATTCTTCAGCTTTTAAGAACTGCCGGGTTTTACGGTAGTGGGCGGAACTAATGCGCAAACGACAATCTCATTGGCTGGTGCTCACCTATTATCGTCCCTGTTTTGATTTCAGCGAATCAGTTCGAGCAAACGCACACAACCTGATTAATATTCATTAATCCAGTAGCTCATTAATCCCTAGTGCGTTTTTATATTGTTCTTATTAGTAGAATTCGTATAATAATATCTTATCAGTATTATTGTTCGTTTTTTTTTTTTACAGAAACACTGAATGAACAAAAAAACCACCAGCACCAGTCCTAAATTCATGGTTACCAAGTTTTAATTCTAATTACTAAACTTCTATTATTAAATAATACTTGATTATCATATTATAATGCTTGACTGACTGATGTTAAGAGTGTACTTTCAGATATTTAGTAAAATGCATTTTTATTCCTAGTTTATTTTATATTTTTAGGTATTTGAAATATAATATTTTATACATTTAGCATAATTTAAATATAATATAAAATATATATTATATTTAAATAACTTATACACACGCACACACACATATATAAACAAATAAAATTACATATATATTATATAAAGAAAAAATCAGATAAACAAAAAGAGAATATTACATCTCAGGGAAAAAAAACATTAATTGACGCTGTATGGCTGGACATACAGAAAAACTTGTTCAAAGCAAATTTTGTGTGATGGATAGGGCTGAGAAATATATATTTTCATATATTTAAATACGTACATATACAAAAGTAATTTATACAATGAATATCGATATTAGACACCCGGAATGAAGCGCCAATTCCACAAGTCTTTTTCGGCGATATAATACAAATTTCTCATATGTTTTTTCTTCTTCTAGCGATTAACAAAAACTCCTTTATTTATTAATCAATAATGACATCGTTAGTGTTTATTTGTGATTATTTCCCAACCGACATTCGCGCTAAGATTTAAATTACAGTTGAAATTATTGCTAACCGTCACTTAGCCAACTGGCAGCTAACTTACCGGTAACTTATTCAAATCAAACGCTCTTTATCTTAATAACATTAAATCATAACGAGTTCATTCAGACCGAAAGCAGTCAAGTGTTCATAAACAACACTTAATATAAAACAAGAGGCTAACAGATACAGGTTAGCTTATGAACCAGAGCTACTTACACGAGAGAAATCGCGGGCATTTGAGGTAAAACGTCTTCTCTTTTTCGGCGGAATTTTTACAAGGCAATAAAAGCACCGATAGGAGAGGTAACCTTAATGTTTTGAGCCATATACCCGTGTTATTAATCCACTGAGCCTCGGACTGTGTGGACAGTTACAGGCGCTGAATGAGGTCGGTTGTGAAGGTTGAGGGATGAAGGCGTGAAGGAGGCGGGTCGATAATTTAAATAAAGTAATGAAGGGAGTGTGGAAGCGAGGCTGTTATGTTAATTAGGCGTGAGAGCGCATGAACGGGGCGGGGCTTCTGTTTGAATATTATGAGCGAGTGAAGGAGCGGGGCTTAATTTATGCTGTGAAAGGGGCGGGGCTTTTGTTTGAATAATTTGACGAGGAGAGCGAAGGAATCAAAACAAGAGTTTTGTTTTGTTCTTCTAATCCACTTCTGTTAGCTTTGAGGCCATCTATATGCTAGTGCAGTCACAAACCAAACAATAAACATATTATTTTGAACTGCTATCTTCAATTTCTTTCAGAGTAGGCTACATTAACATAAAAAATGGTTTCTAAATGATATCACTGTACAGTATGAATCAAATTAAGTCACAATTTAATCATTACAAAATCATATACAGACAAATGCTCTACATAGACATAATATACATACATTTTTACATGATTATTTGTTGATAATCTTCACACATTGACAAGTGCATGCAGTTGCAAAGCATAAACGGCAAATAGTAACTTAATACTAAATAGTATTATAGTACATATATATAGTATAATACATATAGCATACAAATACCTTCAAATAACACCATTTTTAACTTTTCATTTGTTTGCTACTTAATTTAAATCTCTCCAAATAATGAGTATAAGATCAGCATGATGGTGTTTTATTGTAATATTTATATTAAAATATATTGATATTGATAGGAAAGTGTGCCATCTCATACCTGAGAGCCTTCATCGTCTCGTCTACAAAGTTCCTGTCAGAACATTGTCCATTTTGCACTTTTATAGCGAGATTCCAGATAAAACATTATAAATAATTCTGAATTTATTGCATTGTATGTTAATGTCTGGACTGATAGAATGTCCTCTTCAGTATTTTGCTCTCTTCATATAGATGAGCTGCTGCTTCAGTGTCCAGTTTCTGATTAAATGAATCTAGTGACCACACTATCATCCACATTTTATAGAGGGAGGCGTTTACCCTGCGCTCTCTCTCTCTCTCTCTCTTTCTTTCTCTCTCTCTCGCTCTCACTCTCTCGTGACTTTCCGCTTGAGGGTTTCAAACTATTCAAAGTTCTGATTCACCACATAAACCTAATGACTAATTGATGAAGATGCTGACTTAAATAGCACTTTTGACAATATTAACACCATGATGTAGAGATCAGATTTCGAGAAATGTAGCATTGCATCGTTTGCTCACCAGTGGATGCTCTGCAGTGAATGGGTGCCGTCAGAACGAGAGTCCAAACAGCTGATAAAAACATCACAATAATCCACCAGTAATCCACACCACTCCAGTCCATCAGTTAACATCTGGAGAAGACAAAAGCTGTGTGTTTGTAAGAAACAAATCCATCATTAATGCATTTTTGCTTGTGGTTTCTGGCTAAAATAGTCCATGATCCATAATAACACTTTCTCCAGTGAAAAAGTCCATCTTTTGTTGTCTCTCACATCAAAATCCACCCACACATTTGCTGTTTTGGACTGTTTGATCTGTGCAGATTTCTCTCCTGATTCAGACCAGACCACTTTTTCACTGGAGGAAGCGTTATTATGGATTATGGACTCGTATTTTAGTTAAAAACGTCTTGATGATGGATTTGTTTCTTACAAACACACAGCTTTTCTCTTCTCCAGATGTGAACTGATGGACTGGAGTGGTGTGGATTACTTGTGGATTATTGTGATGTTTTTATCAGCTGTTTGGACTCTCATTCTGACGGCACCCATTCACTGCAGAGCATCCATTGCTGAGCAAGTGATGCAATGCTACATTTCTCCCAATCTGCTCCCATGAAGAGTCAACCTAAACATTTCTGTGCCACGATATGTTAGACACAAATTCCTCTTTTGTGTAATTCCCTTTTCTCCAATTGCTGAGTCCTTTTACCAAAAATAGTTTCATCAGAATGTCAAATGAGCCAATTGAGCTTCACAATAGCTCTGTTTGTTTTAGTCACATAAATGTTGCTCGGACTACTACACTGTCAGTGAAAGTTTCTCTTTTGCAGCCCACAAAAGCACTTCCGAGTTTTGTGCCTGCTCCCTCTAGACTAAAAATGAGCATATGGCATCTAATCTAACATAAAATCTGAAGCAGCTCGGAGTGAACGGCGGTGTTTGATAACCATTGTTCTTGGTATAATGGTGATCTGCATCTGGAAGGACATGTGGTTTGCCTGCCATATGCAATAACACCCTACTGCTATTGAGCAACAAGAATTCTCCTGAGCTTAAAGGCCTCAAATGCAATGCAAAATAAAGGAACTCTCCAATAATCTAAAGTATTTCAGATAATCTGATGGGAGAAAACAAAGGACATTCTTGTAACAATAAAAACAGTGTTGAAAATGTCAGTATTTTTCATACTTGTTTAGACAAACCTCTTGATTACAAAAAAACAAAAAAGCTACTGAACATTTCCACATAATAATAACTTTGTTACTGTTAGTAATATTTCAAGATGAACACTTTTGGCTTGATTATCATACATCAATTTTTTTGAAAAATCAGCGAGTCTCAAATATGATCATCAGGCTTTTGAGAAACATTTGTTCATCTCTCAGTCATCATTGGATTGCACTGCATTATGTTTTGATAATTTCAATCTCATCTTACTAAGACATATTATTGGAGATCTATAGTGACGTATCTGCTATAGTGTATAAAGATCTCATTAATTTACATTATAAGCATCAGAATTTCATCTTTGAAACAACTTTTTGGACATGAATATCAGCATCTGCACCATATTGTATAATTTTGCTCCGTTTTAGTTTCTGAATAAAATGGAGGTGTTTTTTTCCGCCATATTCTCACTATATCAGACTATAATAATATCCATAAAAACCTGATGTATCGATACTCAACAAAAACAGGCTTTACAGGGTTCTTAAAACACATTAGAAAGCACAAAATGGTGGGTTCATCTAGTTGTATTGTTAAAGATTAAGTAAATGGAAATTGCTTTATGACTTTGCTACATTTCAACTATATTTAAACACCATATTTATCCGTTAAAAACATGTGAAGGTCATTGCCAGTGGGCTAAATAGATAGACAGTGAGTTTATAACAAAAACAATAGAGCTTATCTTTTGTTTTCCGCCACTATCTGTCACCTTTCTTCTCTCCACCCAGCACACAGCACCCAAATGAACTCACCCATTTCCTTGACCTCCTTTCAATAAATATTCACCTTTATCCTGACAAAAAGAACATCAGTTGGATTTTAACTCTGTGGAATTTGATTAGTCTCTCAGTTTGAATACAAAGAACAGAGAATTAGATTTGAGAACTGCAGAAAAGTAGGCATATGACTTCAGAAGACTGTTTTTGATAGTTACTTCTACTTGTTTGATAGTTACATTGTTGTTGTTTTTTGTTTTTTTCGTCATTTTGTAGCTTGACAGATGCGGTCACAATATGAACTGTCAGACTAAATGGAAAAGTATGGAAGCCCATTTCTGCCACAAAAAAAAAAGTAATTGTGAATTTTTAACTTATATTCTTAAAATTCTGAGTTCATATATTGCAATTCGGACTTTATCTCACAATTCTGACTTTATCTCACAATTCTGACTTTATATCTTGTAATTCTGAGTTTATCTCGCAATTCTAACTATCTCACAATTCTGAGTTTATATCTTGCATTCTGACTTTATATTTCGCAATTCTGACAATATATATCACAATTCTGAGTTTATCTCGCAATTCTGAGTTTATATCTCGCAACTCTTAGTTTATGTTTTACAATTCTGACTTTTTTTCTCTGAATTTTGAGTTTACACCGTGAAATTCTGGGTTTTTTTCACCGTGGAATAAGAAATAAAAAAGGTAATTGCAATTTATCTCACAGTTCTGGCTTTTCTTCTTGCTAGTTTATATGTCACAATTCTGACTTTATTGTCGTGCAATCTGCTTTTGTTTTCAACAGAAAAAAGAACAGCAGCATGTTAGGAAAGAACGGTGAGTAAATAAAAAAAAAATAATTATTATTTTTGGAGATGTTCCATTAATGACAAAATATTGTTATGATCAAAGCCCCAGAGGACCTATTATTTTTGGAAATAATTTCTCGATCACCTTGCTATCCTTTTGTGTTCCCCAAGTTGTGTGTTTGCATGTTTCGTGCATATGTAGTAAACTAAGGAAATGGATGCAAGGGTTATAACAAAAAGCTTGGGACAAACTGGAACCCTGGACTCTGGGCTGGACGTCCCTAGCGACTAAACAAGCAGTGTTCCTTATTCCCCAGGCACTCAGGCCGGCGGGCGGGTGACTGATTAGAGCACGCGTGCCCAGACATGTCCCTATTGGTCTGGCTGCCGGCCAGTCAGTGGGCAGCCCACCCTGGTGTTTGATCTGGGGGTTTGGCTCCAGACAGTCCCGGCATTGTATCCCAAACAATGCACCCCAGACCTACTGAACTCCATAAACATAACCCTTTGTGGGCTTTTCCTCGAACTCAGGGTGGGGGACACCCGCTGCCAGGAAGAGGGACTCCTGTCCAAAAAAAGACCGCTGTGCCTCCCTCGTCGGGCTGCTG